AAACACTAATCCATTTCCCTAACCTAGTCACTTCCAAAACTAGAGGCTCCCCAACCCCAGCTGAACTCCTTTGAAGATTATTATTCCAGGAGCTATAACATGCCACTCGGCCTCATTTGCTGGACCAAATCTGGAGGGAGAACCCAAGTGAGGTTCTCCCCAGGTGGGGGGAGCAGGGGAGAAAAAATGGTAGCCATTTTTACATTGTTTTGTATAGTATTTATTGATTCAGGAAACAAACACAAAATTCTGAATAAAATGACTTGGAAACTGCCTGCTTGGGCTTCTCATTTCTTGCCTCCCCTTCCCGCTCCCACCTGCCACTGGGTACAGCCCAGCTATGTTTATCAGCTAGTATTTGACCTTCTGGCTGTTTCACACCTGTGCATGATGCTAGGTCATTTCCTCTTACTTGGTGTGACCCTCTAGAGAGTTGGGCATACCCAGAGCATGAGTGCCTCACTTGCCTGGCTAAGAGGAAGTTCACAGGTGGGAGGGTAGTGGGGAGGGGAATGTGAACATGCTGGTTCTAATTGACTGCTATTGGAAAGATTTCTGGGAAGACCACAGAGAAGGGCCTGTTCTTAAATGGTCCAGTCACGTGCCACAATTGCTGACCTAGGCAGATGGGTCTCCAAGGGACAATTCCAGAAATCCCCATCATATTGTACCCACGTGATGCTCTTGACTAACTCCCACGAAATTATGAAAACTAATGACTAAGAGGTTGTTCACTGGAGCTGAGGTGGCTGAGTCAGGGGTGGGATTATCAGATACAGGAAGTAAAAACTTTCATTTCCTCCTTTTTCCAAGAGAAGGCAGAGTAGGGTTGAGCAGCTGTTAACTGATAAAACCTAGCTGGGCTTTCAGTAAGACGGTTCTGCCATGAGACTGGCTCTGCCTTTCCTGGGGGTCCTCCTGGGACTGATAGCAGGTAAGGAGATGGGAGAGACCAAAGGCAGGAGCCTCTGGGGAGGAGCTAGTTCTGGGTTGCTAACAGTCTCTCTCTGCTGAAAGCCCAGGCGACGGAGGATGATTGTCCTCATAAAAAATCGGCCACTCTGCTGCCATCTTTTACGGTGACACCTACAGCCAGCCACAGGACTACAAAGAGCCACAAAACCACCACTCACCGAACCACTAAAGGCACCACCAGCCATGTGCCCACAACTGTCACTCGCCATCCTGCCACCACCACCAGCAGCCATGGAAATGCCACAGTTCATCCAACGGGCACTAGCACCACTACCAGCCACATGTCCTCAGCTTCCACTCACCATCCTGCCACCACCAGCAGCAGCCACGGAAATGCCACGGTTCACCCCACAACCAGCAATGGCACTACTACCAGCCCTGGATTCTCCACCAGTTCCCCACCGCCTGGACCACCTCCCCCCTCACCAAGTCCTACTCCAGGCTCCAAGAACGCTATTGGGGACTACGTGTGGACTAACGGCTCCCAGCCCTGCGTCCATCTCCAAGCCCAGATTCAGATTCGAGTCCTGTACCCAACCCAAGGTGGAGGCAAGGTAAAGCTGGAACTGGAAGGGCATAGGTCAGGAACGAGGCGAGTCCTGCTGAGGCTCAGGGGAGAAGGAAGAATAGATCCAGGGCAGATGGAGGAACTGGGAACTCAGGTGGCATGGCCACACAGTCGCGTGACTCTGATCTTTAACTTCCGCAGGCCTGGGGCACCTCTGTACTGAATCCCAACCAAACCAAGGTGCAGGGGGGCTGTGAGGGTGCCCAACCCCATCTGCTGCTCTCCTTCCCCTCCGGACATCTCCACTTTGGATTCCAGCAGGTACAGCTCAAAGCCTTCACCCTCATTCCTCTCATCCCCCTGCACCCCATCCCTACCAATCCCCACTGCATTCTCCTCTGTGGACGCGGGTGCCCCTCTGGCTGTGCCTGAGACTTCCTGTGACCTCCCAGGAGGCGCAGCAGAGCACTATCTTCCTGAGCTACATGGCTGTGGAGTACAACGTGTCCTTTCCCCACGCCGCACGTGAGTAACCACCTCCCCGTCCCCTTGGGCTAGCACAGGTGTCTGGACTCCCAAAGAGACTAAGCTGAGGCTGGGGAGGAGGCCTGGATCTGACCCTTCCTCACTCCCTCAGAATGGACGTTCTCAGCTCAGAATTCATCCCTTCGAGATCTCCAAGCACCCCTGGACCGGAGCTTCAGCTGCAGAAACGCAAGCATCACCCTTTCACCAGCACTCCACCTTGACCTGCTCTTCCTGAGGCTTCAGGCTGCGCAGCTGCCCCACACAGGGGCCTTCGGGCCAAGTAAGACCTACCTACTCCTTTCCCGCTAGAATTCTCCCACTGTGCAAAAGTCCTTCCTGAAATTCCATAAGACAGTTGTCTCTTTTGTGTGTGTGTAATTACCAGAGTGCATACCAGAGGGAAGGGAGGACAGGGAGAAAGTACCCCAATAGGCATGGTCCTGCCACAGTCAGTTCTGCCATTTCTCCACCGTTGGGACTTTGGGCATACATGCATACGTGCTTGGCACTTTTTTTCTCTCTTTTTTTTTTTTTAAAGCTTTTGTAATAGGGTGCATGCACTTGCCAAGAGAAAGAGAGAGAGGGAAAGTGAGAAATCATCCCCTGGATGGCCACGCTGCAGTCCCTTTTTCATCTCTCCTCTTAGGATTTTGGGCACGCACACACATGCATAGTGTATTTTACAAGCTGTCAGGCCCAGGAGTCAAGCCACATTGTTGGCCATGTGGGATCCAGCTGCCTTAACCACTACACCACCAGTTTCCCTCAGTACTTTTTTAATTTAGTTTTTGCTATGAGGTAAATGCACTTGTGGAGAGTGAGATAGTGAGAGAAAGAGAAAAATCAGCGCCCACTAGGATGGCCATGCCACATCCCCTCCTCCATTCTCCTCTTGCACTTTGGGCATGTATACACATGTGCCTGGTGTGACTTTTAAGCTGCCAGTTCCAGGACTCCAACCATGGTTGGCCATGTGAGAATTGAGCACCTTAACCACCATGCTGTCTGCTGGCCCCCCAGAATATTGTCTTAAAGTTGACAGGATGAGATTCAGAACCATGGTTGACCATGTGAGATTCAGGCCCCGCCTGTTTTTTAAAAGTCTTTTTTTTTCCTTGGAGAGACTCTCCCCTTTCCCCCAAACACACACACACAGGATGTTGCAACACCAAAATCACTCCTACCCCATCCTCTGGCCAGCTTGGGTGTGCCTAGTATGTTCAGTATAATCTGAGAACCGAACACAGAGCCTTCCCATTTGGCTCCAGCACTGCACATCAGTGCACTGCTACTTACACTGCCTTGGCTAGACCCATGTCCCTTCCTATGAGCTAATTTTCTCCCTCGCCCAGGCTTATCCTGGTCACAGGGGAACAGTCCTCCTGCCTCTACCGGACTCTGCCGTTTCCCCCTTTGACTTACTGCTCTGAGTCACTGCAGAGCTCCTCCTTGGCCTCCTACCTCCCAGCACAGCCTCGTTCCCTTCCCCCCACCACCTCTACCCAGCCTCCACTATTGCATGCCCATGTGCCCTGTCTCCCTGCCAGGCTTCTCTTGCCCCAGCGACCAGTCCATCTTGCTGCCGCTGATCATCGGCCTAATCCTCCTCGGCCTCCTCGCCCTCGTGCTTATCATCTTCTGCACCCTCCGGAGACGCCCAGCCTCTTACCAGCCCCTCTGAACATTTGCCCCAACCCTGGAGACACCAGGGCTAGCCTTATTTCCTCACCATACAACTGACTCAGAGACAAATGTTTTTCCCTTTCTTTGAAAAACAGAAACGGAGATAATGCAATTGGGAGGGAGGGGAAGAATTCTTATTAAATGGGACCAATGTCCCACCTGAAGAGAGTAATAAAACCTACTCAAATCTTTGTCCTGTTTCCCTTGTGCCAGGATTAAAAGCCATCGATCTCTTGTCAGTGTCTTTCTGTGCCTTCCGTGGCTGTCTCAGGGACTGAGAAACAGCTGGTGAGGAAATGTCACTATGTCACAAGCCTGGCACAGCTGGCACTGAATGTGCCATGCCTGCCTTCCTTCCTCTTCTGGGGCCACTGATGGCTTCACTTCCCCACTACCACCACCACCAGTCCAGGGTGCCATCTTGGCAGCCTTTCCTGGCCCCTGTACAGTTACAGCTGCTCACACAGGTGGGGCAAGGAGTGGGTGGCTCCCCCGAGGTCATTTCAGAAGGAAGCCCATTGGCTCCCAGGCTGTGCAAATGGCCTGCTGGGCTAAAGAGCTAAACCCCCTCAGCGCCTGGGAAGCTCCTGGCCCACCAGAAAAGGGCTGCAAACACAGGAGCTGGGAGTACTCTGGTCTCCATGCACAATTACCCTCTGCTCCGGGGCACTGCATGCCCCCAGCCTGCTTCCCCTTCCCCAACCCTGATGCCCCCGGTACTTAGGCAGATGGCAGGCAGTGTCACTCCAGAGCAGCCTATGTCCGTATTCTAGAAGGGGCCTCACAGACCGACAGCCGGCACTGACACTGCGCACCAGTCCTACCCTTTATAGCAGTTGCTGGGGGGCAGAAGGAGCGCTTGCTCCTCCAGCTAGAGGAGCCTCAGTGAAGCTAAAGAAAAGCAGCCTCCGAGGCCTGGAGACACATGCCACTTAGGGCAGCCACCACTGCCTGCAGACATCCCTTATGCACTTGCAGACTGCGGAGCCAGTGGGAGAAACCAGTGTTTCTCCACGGTGTGATGGCCAAGCGCAGCTCCACTGGGATGGCGCACCGGGGGCTGGTGTCCTGATTCTGGGTGGTGGAGCACAGCGCGCCTGCAGGGCAACCCAAGGAGCTCACTGGGCCTTGCTGAACTTCTGGCTCAGTTCGTGGTGCCCTTGGGTCAGCAGGATGGGAGAGAACCCAGGGGCAACCATGCCAAGCCTCCGCTGGAGGTCCCTGCCTGGGCACTGCGGATGATGACTCAGGAGCTGCCCTTCCACGAGCTCCACCACCCACCCTCTCTTCTGCCTCAATGTCCAGGCCTAACAGTTGCTTCAAGGCCAGGACGAACCATAGGAGGGCCACGAGGCTCCGTACTCAGCCCGGTGACTAAGGAGGGCTGCCCGATGGACTGTCTGGTCCCGGGGGCGCCGGTACACTGAAGATGCCTAGAGCTTCAGCGTCCCCGCCCATGCCATTCGAGCGCTCCTTCCTTCTCAACCTCGAACAATGTCAAGTAGGCTAGGAAAAGACAAGATGGCGCCCAGTAGGAGGCGCCAAAAGAGGCAGAGGGATAAATCTTGCCTCCAATTTGGAAGCATAAACAAAGGCGCGGAACATCTAAGTGCGCAGGCGTACAGCTCTGGCATGCTTTCAAATTGGAACGGCGGGGCGCGTCCGAAACGTGAGCACGTCGGGAGCGTTAGCTAGCTTGGGCTCACAAGGCCGGCGTGGCGGAAGACACAGCGAGAGACAGGGTGCGGTGCCGCGAGAAAAGAACAAGAGGCGGAGCGTCCGGCGCGCACGCGCAATGTCAAGGCGGAGAGGCGAGACTGGCGGAAGCGAGCTTTGCAATATGGCGGCCGAGGCAGACGGACCGCTCAAACGGGTGCTGGTACCGATTCTTTTACCTGAGAAATGCTACGACCAACTTTTCGTCCAGTGGGACCTACTTCACGGTGAGTGCCACCCAAAGTCGTACTCGAGTGACCTTGGGCCATAAGTGGAGTGTCACGGGCGACATACCCACGCCAGGCTGGGCGGAAGTCACTTCTGAGAGGGGCGGAAGTGTCTGGAGATCCACAGAAGGAGCGTGCCATATTCGGGAAGGGGGGGAGAGTTGCCGGGTGTAGGTGAAGTTTGTGTTTCAGCGACCGTGAAAGACGAAAAGACTCACACTTCACAAAAGTCAGCGCAGACCGTTCCACCTAGAGGAGCTAAACTTAACTCCGAGCCCCTGATGAATCAGGCTTTCATCAGCACCCCTACTGCCACCCCGCTCTCCTTCCACCTTCACATTTGCTCATGGTCTAATTTTGGGATAATTTATCTTCCTATTTGCACGACAGCTAGACATCAGACCCTTTGGTCTGCTCCTGTTAGTTCCTGGCACCTGCGTACGTGACAGTTTTAGCCACATTTTCTACCTGTGATGGACTTGACTCCCACTGGGCCAAGCACCCTGGGCTAAGGTTTCAAGGCTAGAGAGTTGTGGGTGGCCAGAGCGTGAGCCTGGAAAGTGGAGTCAAGGCTAGGGAGTTGTGGAGAGCCAGAGCATGAAAACAAGCCCTGGGAGGATAGGACTAAGTCCCAGAGGGGAGAGTAGGGGCAATCATAGGGTTCAGGAACAAGTGATAAGGAAACATGGCCTTGGAGAGAGAAGACATGAAATGGGTCACACACTTCTTCGGGGAATGGAAACAAAATACCAGGGAAGTGGAGCACTGCTCAGCTTCATACAGGAAAGCAGTGGAGAACCTCGGAAGGCAGGCCACGGAGTTTGTGAGGAATGGAAGGCTGGAGCGGGTGTGGCAGGGTTGGGAGGCCTTATGGTGAAAGCTGTTTTGGAGTGTCACCTAGTCAATGTGAGATGGTCTGGAGCAAGGACCAGGCCTTTCCTTTGTCTTCAGACAACACAAGACCTTCCTTATGTGGATATGTCAAGGTTGTGTGTGTGTGTGTGGGGGGGCAGGAGCAGCTCACAGGAGCCTTCAAGCTTTGGCCTGGACTCCAAAGGCTTCCTCTCTTACCCATTTTTCTCTTTTCAGTCCCCTGCCTCAAGATTCTCCTCAGCAAAGGCCTGGGGCTGGGGATTGTGGCTGGGTCCCTTCTGGGTACGTACCTTATATTTCTTTCCTGCTGTTGAGAACAGGGTGGAGGAGCTGAGAGGCCATAAACCTAATGGGTCCCTTCAGTAACTGTTATGTTGTGCTCCTAAGAATAGAGACTCCTCAGCTCTGCCCTTCTCATCCTCTCCCCAGTAAAGCTGCCCCAAGTGTTTAAAATCCTGGGAGCCAAGAGTGCTGAAGGTCTGAGCCTCCAGTCGGTAATGCTGGAGCTGGTGGCATTGACTGGGACCATGATCTACAGCATCACCAACAACTTCCCTTTCAGGTGAGGGGCCCACCCTTCATTCCCAAAGCTTAATGCCCACAGCTCTAATGGGGGCCAAGGTAGGGGAGGCGAGAAAAGGGCAGGAAACCTTGAGCATTTTTCAGAAATTATATCACCAGTAGACGTGATGATGAGAGGAGAGTACATCTCAAGATTGCCCAGGATTCTAAATGAGTCAGTCATGCAGAGACGCTGTAGAGGCTTTTTCTGCCTCTTTCCAGGCCCACTTTATTCCTCCCAACTCTTGACTCTACAGCTCTTGGGGTGAAGCTCTGTTCCTGATGCTCCAGACAGTCACCATCTGCTTCCTGGTCATGCACTACAGAGGACAGACTGTGAAAGGTGCTGGGGATTTACCCAAGAGCACGCTGGGGTTCTTGGGAACCCTGCTGGGAACTCAGACCTGGGGAAGCTGCAGGAAGATGAGAGGCTGATGAGGACTCCTTGTCTCCCCGACCTCCCCCTCCAGGTGTCGCTTTCCTAGCCTGCTACGCCCTGGTCCTGCTGGTGCTGCTTTCACCGCTGACACCCTTGGCTGTAGTCACCCTGCTCCAGGCCACCAACGTGCCTGCTGTAGTGGTGGGGAGGGTGGGTACTAGGGTAAAGGGGAGGGAGGGCTGGGAGGCGGGCACAGTACAGGGTGTTTGGTGAAAGCATGGGAACATGGGAAGAGTTGAGATCATAGAACCAAAGGTCTCAACTCCTCCTGCAGCTACTCCAGGCAGCCACCAACTACCGCAATGGGCACACGGGCCAGCTCTCGGCCATCACAGTCTTTCTGCTGTTTGGGGGCTCCCTGGCACGAATCTTCACTTCTATTCAGGTGAGTGGACCTTCTTCCCTCTAGGGCAGTAAAATCTCGCCTTACCTCTTCCAGCTAAGGGCTAAAGCTGCCCTCTCTGGAACCTTTGTCCTTAAGGGGACCTCTCATTGGCTGTATTTAAGGGTGACCATATTTTGTCTCTTAAAACCAGGAAACTGGAGACCCACTCCTGGCTGGAACCTTTGTGGTCTCCTCCCTCTGCAATGGTCTCATCGCTGCCCAGCTTCTCTTCTATTGGAATGCAGAGGCTCCTCACAAGCAGAAAAAGCAGCAGTAGGGCTGAGCCAGCTACTGGAGTCATTCCGTGTTTCCATTCACCCATAGGGCCCAGGCGCCCGCCCCTCTGAGCCAATCTGCCAGTGTGACTTGGAATCATTCTCCATTCTGCAGTTGCACCGGTTCTGAGCCAGGGTTTCTAGTGGAAATGGACCTTGGGTGGTTCCAGATCCAGAGTCTTTTAAGCGGACAGCCAACCTGTGATAGATGCCTCACCCTGTCCTCTCACTTTTCTTCTGGCCTTAGAAGATGAGTGTGGGCAGTGAAATGGAGGGGACTGGAGGCTCGTGCTGCCTCCCTTCCCCCGCCAGGCTGGGACTCTCCTGGACCCCAGTGCTGGGAGTGGGGGAAAGGGGACTGAGAATGACTCAGGCAGTGCCCCAGGGTGGGGTGAGGAGGTTCATGCTCTGGCAGGTCCAGGCGGAAGGGAGTGGAGCCAGTGCTGGTTCCTGCTGCAGTGTGTGGAACAGATGTAACAATAAAGACTCAGAGACACTTTAACCGTACAAAACTTGCTTCATCCTACAAAAAACAGCGTTGTGTTGCACTCCCAGGCTTTACTGGGAGGACTGCAGGTCTCCTCTGAACTGTGGCCCAACACAGGACAGGGTTTACAGCCAGGGGTGGGGCTAGGGGCTGGTACTGGGTAAAAGGAGAATGAGGCCTTTACTGGGAGTTCCATGTCCATGAAGGTTAGAGGTGGGCTAGAGGCATGGGGGTGCCAGAGAGGGGAGAGCTGTATGGAGTGGGGGAAGCTAGGGGTAGGTAGGGGCTGTATGGGGGAAGCAGCTCCCCCTGGAGCCTAGGGTCACTGTGAGGGAGGGGACACAGCGAGGGGGCGTCCGGTTTACAGTGGGAAGAGCTGCAAAGAGAAAGACAGGGTTAGCAGGAGCTTCCCTGGATTGGAGGTGCTGGGCAGAGCCCCCAGTGTGCGTCGGGGACATGGGTCTGACTAGTTCTGGGTCGCGGGCTAAAACTTGCCACCTGCCCACCCACCCTGCACTGGCTCTGTGAGCCGCTGCCCCTGGAGAGCTGTGCAGGGAAACCCTGTCAGGGCACGCTCCAGAGCAAGCCCAGCTTGCGTGCTACGACTGTTTTCCTCTTGGGGCTCAGGCAGGAAGGGGCCAGTGGGTTGGCCTCTCCTTGCCCCCGGGGCTGGGAGAGGGAGCCAGGTCACACATGGGCCAGCGGCAGGGGGAAATGGGGCATCCAGATAACTAGGCTGAGATCACATCCAGGGCTTGTCAATCTGTTTCTGCAAGGACTGCCCCCTCCAGGTTGAGAGAGAAACATCCTCTGGGAAAACCTGACCCAAACGGTAGACCCTCCCAGCCCTGTTCAGGTGCCTGGGATAACAGGGTGTTCCTAACAGCAGGCCGCAGCGTCCTCCAGTCTCCCTTCAGCCAGGCCCTTGGTGCCCACCCCAACCCCGAGGAAAGAGCACAACGCCTGCGCACTCAACCCCGCTTCGCGTGCACTCACCTGTAGCTGCTGGGCAGATAGGCTCTTGAGTAGTTGGGGGGCTGGTACCCAAAGCCTCTACTCCCCTGGGTGGTCGCGTACCCTGGCCCCCAGAGCGGGCCGCCGACCAGGCTGCCGTTTCCCTGGCTGCCGGGGGGGGGGCCC